TGATAGGAAATGATGAAGTCTAGCCTTTGTTCACATGGGATACCTTCCGTTACTCTTAGAGAGTGACGACGAACTTCATAGCGAATCAATTGATTCCTCGTTTGAAGTCCTTGACCGGTAAATAAGGCAATAATTATGGCATTCACCTTTACCGCTCGCGGAATTAGGAGAGTCAAAGTATTACGGAGTCAGCAGGGAAGGACACTCAGCGACAGATTCCTTCAAACTGATTCACTTCGAATTCTTTGCTCTCAAAGTTTATTCCAGTTAAGGGAGCTTCTTAGACCAGTATCTTCTCCGCTACACGGTATTCATTCTTCTTTCCTTGAAACTGAATCCTGCAACTGCATTCAATCTAAAAAAATAAACTGGCAACCCTACATTTCCTTAAAAATCTCTTCGAATTCTTTCAACTTTCTCTACCTACAGTAGTGCCTACATGAAACCCGTACTTCAATAGCCTAATGTACTCTGGGAGCAGTAGACGAGTTTGAAAGAAGGTTTGATGCATGGCTTACTCCATGAAAGTCTTGAACAAAAAGTTGCATGAGCACAGTTCTCAACGTAGCCAATATGAAATGAATCTCTTCACAACTTCAGGCGCCCGTGAAGCAATGTAGTGAAGATAGTGGAGTGTTTCAACACTATTCATATGAATAAAAAGTAAGTGTCCCGCGTTGATCAATCCGCGCATAGAGTGCGCCCCGCATTTGACTTCCGTTCAGAATCGTTGCGCCGTTCAGAAGCGCATGTTATCCAGACGGGGCCAGCTGATGTAGTAGTCAGCGCCTATATCTTTCCAAACGAATTTGGTACTCTCTGAGATTGGAGGCTCGGTCTGCCCGGGTGGATAACGATTGGAATCCAGTTTTCTGACCATGTGTATGTGATAGTGGCGTCGCCTACCACTGCAACAACTCTGTACTCATAATAATCAAAAGGAATAATAAGTATTCACCAAAGTCGTGGGTGGGCCCAACCAGTGAAGCAGAAATGCTCTCAGAAGTCCATTCATTGTTAAATACACATAGATATAGTTAGGGTATCGTAGTCTTGATTGGAACAGTAGCAGTAAGAGTATCGTGGGTCTTGTTGGAGTAGCGGAAGACAGTTTTCCTCATCTAGTAAATTATACCTTGCATCATCTGGTATTTTATGGTATTTTGTCGTTACATCAAATGGAGACATTCAGGCGTTCCTGGTCATTTCTGTTGATCCAGCTGATATGAGCTCGTTCACAGAGGCATAAATTTCATGCTTCCCTTGCTGATAACGAACGCCTACGCATGAAATGAGAGTTTGGCTTGATAAGGCAGTAGCACTATACTGGCTTCACCTTGTTGGCTTTCCCTTAGAATGCAGCGCACTTAGCTGTAACTGTAGGAGTGGAACTTGCAACTCTCTTGCTACCTGTAATTGCTTTTATTTTCGACTTCTTTAGTGACTTGCTTGTCATTCTACAAACCTCAACATTCTTCCAGCACATTTATACTTCTACCTTACCTAAGTCTCTCTCCATAGAGTTGATTTCTCTCCCTTTAGTCTATGTTGTCTTCGGAGGTTTCTGGAAATTTTTTCTTGGTGTAGCTACTTGCACTCTCTCCAATACATTTGCTAGGTACTCTTTTTCGACAAACCTCGTCCTCAGTAGAATGAAGAGCATCTACACTTCTTTTTCGCTTTTATCGAAGAAAGAAGGCATCAAAGACACAGTCCACCATTAAACACCATGTAACGACTTTTGAGGTACTAACTGGAACGAATTTGTAGTTTCGAAGCTCCCACATGGGACGTTGACGGGTCGAAAAATGTCCTACGTAGATGTTACGCAGTAAAGCACAATGACCAACCGCCTTGAAGGTCCCGCCCAAAAGCGATCGTGTTTCAACAATCCCACAGAAGCTACACCAGCTCACATGTTGAATGTTCAAACAGCTGATCGTCCGGGCCGGGATCGTCTGGCTATATTAGAAAACGGATCTGGGAACAGAGACGCTACAGTCAACTCTTTACACAGTTGCACATGTCCTAGATCTCGTCCAAATGCCCCCTTCAACNCTACGTAGATGTTACGCAGTAAAGCACAATGACCAACCGCCTTGAAGGTCCCGCCAAAAAGCGACCGTGTTTCAACAATCCCACAGAAGCTACACCAGCTCACAACAGCTGATCGTCCGGGACTCATGGCTATATTAGAAAACGGTTCTGGGAACAGAGACGCTGTAGTCAACTCTTTACACAGTTGCACATGTCCTAGATCTCGTCCAAATGCCCCCTTCAACACCATAATCTCGTACAACATTGCATTACTTAATGAGTTCAGATTCTCTAGCTTACTCCATCACCGAAGCACCACTTATGACCATACTTCTATGCTCAGTGCTCATGCTCTACACAATGCAAAAAACCATTTTCAATAAGCGGCCCAAGCCCTGAAAGACCTCCCTTGTTAGTATCGGTACATTCGTTCTCTAACCAGGAGAGGACGACCCAAAATTATTGTGGACTGTGCCTTCAAACCTTTTTAGTAGAAGTTGCCGATGAAGGATCTCCTTTTGAGACGATTGCGCTAACGAATGGGCAGTAGTAAAATTGCAATTCCTGGCCGTGTATCGATCCAGTCTTGAATCAAACGATAAGAAGCTGTTTCCAGCCGTTGTGTGCTTTCCTATACTAGCCGAGCTTCTTATGTAGATGGCTACATAACTCTTCTCTGCCACTGAATCTGACTTGTCTTCATTTCAGTCGAGAAAAAAAATTCCCACTCCTGCAGTTGAAAGCCGAATCCCATTTCTACCAACGAACCCCCATTTGGTGATGCGCCACGCATTCAACTTTCAGTGGGAAAACCTCGGAGGGATGGGAGGTATAGCTGATCTCTTGTTCTTGGGTTAGTATCGACTCGGGATTCAATTTCCAGGCTATGCGTATATGATATTCTGCTGCTTACCCTCAACCGCCTCCGCCTCAGTACTGGTATCAGTTATAAGTCAATTTAGTGTCCTCTAAGTTCAAACCATGTGCCACCGAGGGATAAAAGCTGGACATTATGAACGCTCTTCCATTAGGCGGAACAACCACCTGTGAAGAAGGAGTGTACCTTCAGAGTGACGCTGTCACTGGCACTTCAGTGAGATATGGTGCCAGGTCAATTTCTGCATTAGAATTACCTAAGCAGTAGGTATATAGTCGGGTAGACGCGATGCCTGAACTGGGTGACCAGTGCCAAGCATGTAAAGAGATTGGTTGAAATGGGTATCAGCTGGCATTGAATTTTTTCCCACGATTACTGAATTTCACCACGGTGATCGCGATCATTCAGTTGTTCGATATTTGATGTTTAAGGCAATCGATTTTACTGTGACTTTGTTGTGACTAGGTCTAATGTTGGTCTGGTCTCGTATCATTACATACATTTGTTTGTACAGGACGGTTATGACCTAGCCAGCTCTGTTTGACCAGGCTTTTCACCTTCGAACCAGGCCCGTAATCAGATTGATCTTTGATGCTTGAAGCCGTTTGATTATTTTTACAGTGGTGGGAGCCGATTTTTCCATAAAAGCAGCAAGTTTTGAAATGGCCACTTTTCTCGCCCGATCAATGTAGCACTGTCAACAATCGTTTTTGGAAGCCTTTGCCGAGTCTAACTATTTATTATTATTCTCCTTACCGATGGCAACCTTCCGCTTGTCAAGAGGAGTCCGGCAAGGTTTGCTTATTTTTCCATATTGTCTCTTTTTGTCGAAGAATATCAAGGGAAGATGAGGGGGAGAGAAGTGGAGGGAGTGGCATGGGTAGGGTCTCCTTCCTTGGCAGCTTTTTTACATTTTCTTTCATAGTCATAAGAGGCTACTTATGAGAGGATGAATGATAAGGTTGATTGAATATTTCTAAACTCCCCGCTTCCGACTTTCATTCCGTTTGACGACGTAGGAGTAGAGAGGCACATTGCGATCGTCGCAGTGATGGTGCTTCCTGGCCAAAACTCTCGAAAAGGAAGGATGGGAAAGGGGAAGGGGTCGGCGGGGATGGTCTCAACTATACGGGGTACTTAATCTCAATCCCCAATGAGTAAGTAGATGAAGTTGTGTGTTGTAGGAAAGAAGGGTTCTAAGGTACTTCGACATCTCCTCAAGCGGGAGAGTGGGGTTAAGGGTGATCGTCATGATGATTGTATTCTGGAGAGAGTTTTTTGAAGGAACTTCATGACTCTACATCAAAAAGACTGTCCGACGGAGTTTCGATGGGAGAATTCTTCAAGTTCAAACTGCTTTCTACCGTTACCGCTATACTTGACTGAAAATGCTTTTCTAGTGCTCTCTGCAACATCGGCAAAATGGATGTTTTCTATGCTAATGTTGGTTGCTCTTTCTGTTTGCTGCATCACCTATGTTCTCCTTACATCTCAGCCTAAGCCCAGAGAAGCACTGCAAGAGTCTACGGCAAGGAATCGAGATCCGACTAAGGTATGTTTAAGATTCATGGTTTCCTATGATCATCAGAACGTATATGGTGCAGTTCTGAGTTTCGGCATGGTCCCACATTTATAGTCAACGGATCGAATAATTCAACGAATTCAGCACTCGCTAGAGTCAATCAAATCTCCCATCTCTGGAAAGTTAAAAAAAGCAGATCCGTTTGGGAGTATAGAAGGGCTGACTTGTATTGTTGCGAGCCCCACCAAGCTGTGCATAGGCCACATTCACATCCAAAACGCCACTAAGACCCTGAATGGAGTTGAATGAGGGGGCGAAACAGAATTGTTACCGCGAAAGGACATCGACTTTTATTCTTTTGGAGCGGAAATCTGAGAACCCCTACCCTCCTTTTTTTCTGGAGTTTAGGGCCTAATTCAGCGCTCCGAAGTCTTGCATTGCTCGCTGGTAATCACAGTGAAATTCAACAAGGCTTCTCAGAGCTACTCGATCCATTTCAAGCTTTTTACGATTTTATTTCCAGTCTGAAACCAATAATCTTTCGCATATTTTATGTCTTTTCAGACCGTTGTAATATATGCAGCAACGAAGTTTTTCCGAATGGATATAACCACGGAAAGATTTCTTTCGGAATGTCATTCAACTAGGGTTTGTTTGTGATTGTTCATACTTTACAAGACGATTTATAATTTATTCGAAGATGATGACCATAGTGTTAGGGGTAATTCTCATGCCTGCACCGGAACTTGGACTTCCTGACCCGCCAATGGGCTGGGCATGGCTCATTTGGCTGAATGCAATGAATGAGAAGCAATCCTCTCAAGTTGTAACCGATAAAGGAGCTCCATGGTTTTTCAACGGCAAGAAGCCTTTCTTGGCTCGTCTATAAGGCGCCTAGTGCTCCCATATTGTAGTGCTAGAGCATTGCGTGAGTTGAAAGGAAAAGAAGCCGGGCACCGCATCCTGACCTTATTGAAGACGTCAAGATGAAGATGTGGTACATCTGAAAGTACTGAAAGCTCTGAGATCATTTATGGACCTTCTAGGCTTCAAAAGGGGTTTTTGATGGCTTTTCCAGTTTTGAACCTCGTCTATACCACTTAGATTATGAGGAATCCCAAGGAACGTGTAGCAGTGAAATGGCTGAGATCGTGTGTTCTACGACTTTCTCTGATGGACAGTCCCAGATACGGTAGAGATTCCTACAACTCGCATTGTTTCAGGGCTATTGCCGTATAACGGAGAATAAAGCTGATCTCGATGTGGCTGACGCTATCCTGTTCCATAACGCTGATTATTCACCTACATTCGTTCCGGAACCAAGGAAACCTTCAAGGCCTCATGTCCTATGGAGTCTTGAAAGCCCATCAAACGACTACTTTCGGCCTGGACCACGTTAGTTTCACGAATTTGAAGGAAAAAGTCGGATTCGATTAAATTTTATTTGGAGGTCGAAAAGCCCAGCATCTGAAAGTACGTTTCTGAGCGTGTAACAAGTTCACATCCACGGTGACTCCATAACTTTTCTAACACTAAAGAACCAATTTTTCTGACTTCTTTGAGCTAGATTTCCGCAATCAAGATTCAATCACTCAACCACGTGTTTAATAGCAGCGCACTTTACTCGCTTCCATTTAACTCATAACTGTCTGTGCACCATAACCAACAACGAAAGGTGATGGCAAAACAGCACAGCCACTGCTGTACTCTAGAGCCTCCAGGGAGAGTGTAGTGACCTTCAGGCTTTACTTAAAAAGGGCGTTGAATATGGAGAGGGTCCCTTTTTATGAACTTGTTCGGTTGGGCGCGGACTGTAGAAATTTGCTCTCGATTGAGGTAGAATGGGACAGTAGTTTCTGTGGGACCATCGGAGCTTCAATCTCTTCTGGAGTGGGCTTTAAATTGCTTTGGACTTTTCAGATGTTATAAATTGGACAATGACATTCCGTCGAGACGCTGATATCTGGTACCCGTATGGGCACTTCCGTAAACTACCTGAACCACGTAAGTGATTACCGGTCATGCTCGGCCTAGAATAACTTTAGGAGCCACAAAGTTTCGTTTTTTAGGGTCTGTTGATTTCGAGGCTATATGGAATATGAAAAACTCTAACAAAACTGCAGTATGGTTGGCTTCAAACTGTTTCGCCAAGAACTATCGAACCGAAATCGTTAAAGAGTTGGTCAAACACGGGCTTGAGGTCAGCTTTTTTTTCCACAAAGCTTTTAGCAAAGGGCTCCGCCAGCAGAAGGAACCGACGGCGGATGAAGTTGCAGAAGGGATTTCAGCTAGAGAGTTGTGAGGTTTGGACTCAAATGGTTTTCCATCCAGAATGGCATGTATGCTCATGATAGCAGCTACTACATAGCTAGCAACCCCTTGAAGAGCAGCTGAGAGAATATGAGCTGATTCATGAGGCGTTGCCCTATATGGCATCTTCGTCCTGCATGTCACTTCAAGACCCGGTTCTTATCGTCCGGTTGAAGTCAGATCCATCCCTGTGTGAAAGAAATCAAAGCAGAAAGGTTGAAAAAGATGCAATGGCTTTTCCTGAAGAGGCCATCAGTGAGAATAATACCTTCGCAAGTTGAGATCCTGTCGTTGGAGTAAATGAGCAGAGCAAACCACTCCTCGGACCCCAGTTCACGGAGAATAAGCCGAAAGAAGAGCAAGGAGAAAGGTGATTGATAGTCATTAAAAAGCTTACCCATTCTCATGGTCAGACCTATTTCGCTGTAGGAATGGCAGGGAATCCACCAGGAGCACTATGTTAAGGATATTTTTCATAGGACCCTTGGTTTTTCATAATTTTAAACTCATATAGCGAGACCAAGTGAGACCAAACCAGAACAGTTCCGATATTTCAGATTGACCGTTTTGGCAAATGTGGATCGCCTCCTCCAGGATGTGAAGGAGTCGACAAGCAAAGCGATCGTTGCGTTGCCGAACTTGTTAGGTAGGATTTCTATCATTATATTCTGTCCCTATATTATATTTACTGTATTCCGGGAAACTTTCAGCGAAGTTCTCTGAAGGGTAACTTCTCCTGCCTCAAACTTCCCATCGTCGCCCTCTAAGGCTGTTGATATCACAATCGGGACAGGCAATGTTTGCAAAATATTTGAAAACACTCGCAAAAATAATGCTTTTTTGAGTGGGAGTAAATAAATAATAATAAATAAATCAGAATAAAAAAATCCGATGATAAGAGTAAACATGCATAGATGAAAAATAGAAAAGAAGAAGAAAAATGTGAAATAGACGAATTTGGAAGAAAACGACAAAAACCGACTTATGCTAAATATGCATTGTGCTATGGCAGTGAAAATCCGAGCTCAAGAACGTCTCGGTACCTCTTCAAAGTCTTACAGTATTTCAGCCTAAACCCTTTTTGTGGTGCGCCATGCACTCCTCTTCTATTCAAAAACGTAGCGGCGCTTTGCATGCGTATGGGGGCCGCTACAATGACTTGCATTGGTGAACCGAGTCCAAGTCCAAGAGGTGCTGATATCCATCCAAGTGATTCTGGTATTGATTAAACAATTCCGGAGGGATGGAAGGCAAGGTCGGTCTGGGCGCGTGTCGGTATGTCGGTACGGGATTCGATCTTAAAGCCATGCTTGGGGTGAAAAACGTCACTTGCCATTGCGCCACCTCCTTATAAAGATCATTATGAATATTCGATTTTCCTTGCGTTCATCGAAATCACGCGAAACTATTTTTCTCAAACGAGAAGTGAAGTGTTGCCAAGGTGGGTTTCATCCTTTCGCAAATCTGCATTTCTCAAGTTTTGTGTTTCATACCTCTCATATATATCCGAATGACTTCATGCAGCTGTTTTTTTGTTTTTTGATTTGCAACTCATGAAAGCGGGTAAACGGTTTCCAAGGAGATCTTTCAGGGAAATCTTTAAATTCGCTTCTCACAGTCCTTTCCATATCTGCGTGTGTTTGTCCTTTCATCTTTTGCCTTCGAACACCGCACATCACCTGGTTCGAAATCTATTTGCCTTTTTTTCGTGAAAGTGCCCTATATGACCACCACATTACTATATCCATCGGCTCTGAGGTGTGACAAAATTCATCTCTTAAATCGCACAAAACTGTGCGTTGGTAATGAATATGGGCGTCGAACTGCGATGACCGTAGTCACCTAATGAACTGTGGCTAATCATTTGAATTGATCCATACATTGCGTACTTCAGTGAGCGGTTGAATTTCTGTGATGGGCGACAGGAGGGGAGAGTGCTTGACCCTAATCGGGCGTAATTACCCACACCTACCGCTAGTAGGGCGGGCCATAAGAGAACGACTTGGTGATTCAGGACCTAATGAGAACACACAACAGTTACCATGAACTTGTTCAACGGACTATGGACTTGCCCTGCACTAATCCAAAAAAGACGATGAAAGTAATAATCCCAATTGATGGAAGTCTGAAGCTTTCAGGCATTGACATGGGACTGAAACCCTTGTTGACCTGGGTGGGTAACAGTCCGCATTTTAATCCCGGATTATAGGTCTGATAGCTCGGCACCTTTTTGGAATATGCCCCGCATTCGACTTCCGTTAAGACTCGTTCTGAAATTCCGGCTATACAGGGGCGTATACAAGGGATTCCAGTGGTTACCTAATGTACAAAGTCGGTGGTTCTACTCTCCCATACAAATCTGGTACCAGTTAATCGACCCCAGAGGGATGGGGAATCGGCTGGCCCAGCAATTCGGGCTTCGATTCCCGGTCCTTGTATGTGTGTGTAGGACACCCCTTTCACCTCAAGCTTGATGTTCATATCCCATTATTAAAGGAACCAATAGAAAATCTTTTTCTTTACTGAGTTTATAAAATTGTTTTTGAAGAGTGTGTCGTAGTATTTACAGGCCATACAAGTTCTACGTTGCCTTTGAAAACTCCAACTGCGTGGATTATGTCACGGAGAAATTCTACGAGACTCTGATCAGCCGTATGTCGGTCCCTATCGTTTTGAAAAGAGACATCTACATCAATGTTGGAGTAAGTCGTCTTCAGTTGTACTGGTATTTCATACTTTATTATTCGAATTCTCGATGGAAATCAATAATCATTTGATTATCTCAGGCTCCAGAAAAATCTTTCATTGCATTGGACGATTTCCAAACTATAGCCGACATGGTCAATTATATCAAAGAACTATCTGATGACAAAGAGAAGTACCTTGGCTTCCATCAATGGCGAACAACCCATGAGTACGCATTTATATTGCTTTACTTATTTCTGCTCAAGAGGAACAAAGCCCAGGCAGCGGCCCTGTTCTGTTCCCTGTTAATGAAAGCAGGAGGCTTTGAAGAAATTCGAGAAAGTCAAATGTAAGAAAAATCGGCCCGGAAAAGGTAGGAAAAAGGAAATTAAGCAAATAGGCTGCACAAAGGGGCATCCAGTGGAACTGCAGTGGGACTGTTCATAAGGGCCCAGTTTATGGTAATTCTGAGATATCTACCTCAAGTGAAACAGTGGTGGTCATGGTGCCAGACAGTGCAAGGATGACAAAGAAAGCGCAAAAAACGGGAGGTTTTTAAAAACGTAAGGCTTGGAAAAAGCTGCAAAAAGGCGTCGCAGAGTTCGCCGTCTGCTTTCGTCTGGGTGTCTCTCACATCACCGTACTATTCGTCTCGTCCTGTGAATAGTGCAGTAAGGACAACATGGCTACGTACAGTGTGAGCCGTTTCTGGACTCCTTATTGTGACCCGTCTAAGCCGTTTTTCGGCCCTACTCAGCCTATTCTTGAGGGCCAAAGGTTCATTTTTGCGATCAATTTTTTGTTCATACTTGCTCGCTATGTTGCTCTTCTTTAGCAGTGCTCCTCACATCCTTTTCTCTCTGTTTTCATTCCCTCCCACTTGTTGATAAACACCAAAGGGGGAGAAATGTTGTTTGTTGTGCAGCTTCTGCAAGGGGCACTTGCCAAATGAAAGCTGAAATAAATACTTCCTTGTTTGTCCCGTTTCAATAAAATCGCTCGCAATTCTCCACCAAATTAAGTATTTTATCGTATTTTAGGTCCAGAGGTTTTCGACTTTTCAGAAGTAAATATATCTGACAAAGGATCTAAGACGTGAAGCTTTCGATTCGNTTTGCTTGAAATCGGTAAAAGTTTTTTTCAGGGCTATTCCTGAGCATAATGACTATACTGGCTTCTGCGAATTATGTCGACGACTTCAACAGAATTCCTTGGGATACATGACATATGCAGACGTACGGAAATGGCATTCCGACAATCAATGTGACAACAACTTGGGTGCTCGATATTTAAACTAGTAATCATATAGGAATAGCCAATTAGTCGAGTTAGAATGTAGGGTGAAAAGCCGGCCTCGAAAGCCTGAGTTCATGGACCCAGTTAGTAGCTGCTTTGGCATTTCTTTGCATGAGGGAGGTCCAATAGTTTTTTGGAGACCAGATATGTATAGAGTTGTATGCTTTTCAATCACTGCAAGTGCTACATGTTACTCTTGTTACTTCTTCCTGAAAGGGCAATAGGGAGGGATAGAAGGAAGTGGATAGTTTTTAGGGTTAAGAAAATCCATGTTTAGTGCAGCAAGTCCCTGTCAGAACCGTTCTATTCAACTTAACACTTTGAATCAAATCACTTTGAATGTGCAATAATTACGGGATATTTATAAGTTCTATCATCAGTTATCATGCGTTTCTATCACTTTCCATTCATTTCCATCTGTGAAGATTGCTCAGGAATTGATTGCTTGCTGATTAAAACTGTGTTAAATTACTTGTTCATCTGATTAGAGTAGAGCTTTCATATTTTGAAGTTGACACGATTTGTATAAATGTTTACAATGATCATTGTTCGGGCAATACTGGTGATTAGGCCGGTTTGGGGTAAATATGTACCCCAAATCGGCCTAATCAGTAGTTCTGTTGCAATGTCCGGATTAAATTGGTGCTCAATTTATGATAAGGCTAAGAAAGACCACGAGCTAATATGAAGGTCATGGCCTACCACTTTGGCATGTTCCATGCGCTTTTCAGTTACCCTTAATATGAACTGCATGTCGTTGCAATGGAGATGGACGCGACTACGGTATTTGGACAAGGTGTTCTGCTCAAGAGCCAAACTATTTCCTCTCTCCCTCTTCTTTTCCCAGTTTCCCTGTGGATCCACTGGCAATCAGATGTGAGAGCAGCCTGGTACCATATAACCACACGTCAATCCATACCAACGCATATTTACTGGTCCATCTAACGAGATTGAAAGAGAGGATGCCTTTTTCAGGTCCTTATCCTGATGTTAACTATATTTTTGACCAAAAATGGAAAATCACGTAAGGTCACCATATTTTTCAACTTTGAGGAATGCATGTAAGAGCTGTTTATCATAGCCATTTGCTATTTTCGCTAGCAGTAAACACCTCTGGTCCTACTAGTGCCTCGTTCTATCCAATGAATTCTCACCAATGTATCATTCAAGTGTCTTGGCGACATCAGTGTATCGCTGGTTCCGTTTTGTTTGGTCAATTTACTCTTATTTCGTCTCTTTACAACATTATTTCTCTTCTCTCCCTCCGCGGGAGTTTCCATCCCGAAAAAGAGTCTTGGTGGTTCAAAATGGTTTATTCGAATTTCTCGAGATCGGAAGCATAAGTACATACAACGTGGGACTAACGAGGTGATTGAACAACAGTACTATACGAGTAAAAACTACGGTAAGTGCTACCATATCTATGCAATGGCTGGGTTACTGGCACGGACATCAGGAAGGGTTGCTTTTAGAGAAGCCATGTCGATACATCCTCCACTGATGTCCGACAAAGCACCACGATATGNCTGGATTATTCATACCACTCAGGATTTCGCGACAGCTACTGTTTCGCCTGGAGGCAACTGCTTTATATTCACCTAAGACTCGGAATGTTCTTAGGTAAGCTACTCACCTCAATCCAATGCAGTTTGCAGGACGTGTTGGATCGCTAAGCAAGCACCCTGGACTTGGGCTTCTTGCTGGAGTCAGACTACCTCGACGAGGAGCACATCGTAGTCGATCAATGATAGCGGCAACGAGAATCGTCCACGCTCGGCAGGCTTCCGGAAAACCTCTTACGCAGTCCTCGAAATGAGCTTAGATATGAGAACTGTTCTTTGTTTTCCATCAAATCATTCACGTGAAGAGCATATATCAGAAAAGTGGAGAAAGTGTTGGCAATCCTCATATCTGAGCTAGGCGGTTCTAAGCTAGGCGTTAAGGGAAATAGAACCATTCGAGTAGCTTATTGGAACTACTTGTAGGAGCTACTGTAAAACGGTTTCGCAGTTTTCCAACTGGTAGAAACTCATGGTCACTAAGAGGACCCCATGGACAATTATCTGGTCGCCCGATGCTCATTGCTGTCCAACCAGTCAGGAAGGGACGTGTTCAGCAAATTCTGAAGAATCGAACTCCTTCGGAACTATTCATTTCCAACGCTCAATGAGGATGTGACAACAAAAAAAAAGGTTTTTGGGTGAGATTTCAATCCATGTGGAGCATCGTGTGTTAGCTATCCTACTCTATTTGCAACAAACGTGCCCCAGTTCGAATGACATCAACCTCCACAAGGCAGCTAAACACGTCCATCTTTGGATTCGGATAGAAATGAGCGGCAGTGCCGGAATCGGTTTTTTGAGCCATAATTGCACTCAGTTCCAGTCTATTTTCGAACCTTTAATAGCAGTCCCCATGTAATATTTATTTCGGGGGCTATCGATTTTTCCCGATGAGAGGCTCCCAGAACACTCTCTATCTTAAACTGTGCCTTGAAATCAGCGTAAGAGCACAATCCCTTCAAGTTCCTTAGACAGAATAACCCTTGAGATAGGCTTTGATGACTTTAAATCTTATAAAATTTCATGTTCACCTGGATGACTACGATGTCGATAAAGTACTCGCCGATTTTTTCCCAATGACTGGAACGAAATCCGTATTGCTTCAAATAAGCATGACTCCTTCCTGAAATATCTGGATGGTGAACGTCTATGAGGAATATCCCAGAAAAATTTGCTCACCAATGGTTTCGATATGGTCAACAATGTTTTCGGGTTCCATTTCGAGATTTTGTACAACCTGGAACAGTGTCTATTGAAATATAGACTCGATGGCGGTTTTATCAAACTGACTATTCAATAAAACCAGGTGACCTCGGGGATTCTGCTTTGGGGAAGCACCGTTATATATGTATCTCGACATTAGCGTTTACTTCGTATCCCCAGTAGTTATTGAAGGTGAGCTAGTGGAGCGAAATCCAGTCCATGCTCTACTCACTTGCCCTTCACTGTCAGGCAACCTTGCAAGTGGAGCGTATGACTTCGCCTTTAATTTGCACCGCAAGTCGACTTTAATTCCTTTCCATGAAGTGCTCGTGGAATTTCCGAGAAGCGCGGTCTAATTATGGCCCTTGTCGAGCCAAGCTGAATCCTTCAAAACAGAAATACGGCCTTTTTTGGGTTGATTTTTCGAATGTGTATGAAGTATGATTAGACATGGGATTCCGTCACCCATGAATTGGTCCTATACATCCACAAAGCGTCCCTAGGCGGTTCCTTCGGCTCACCCACCCTCTTCCCCACTCGAAGATTAAATACCCCTGCGCTTGTCCCCACAATAGTGGTTGGAGAGTGAGAACTCAATAAAAGTTTGAAATTTATTTTGATTCTATCTAGACCTACCTGAGAAACGAGTGAAACAAAGAAATGGGTGTGGTCGCGGAGCGTTGCAATAGAGCCTGCCGATCTCCTAAATAAAATGGGCAATAACGTAGTAGATAGTATTTCGTACTGGACAGTTAATAGCATGATAATGGGCTGAGGTGGCCTAGCGACAAGCGGCGCACTTTACACACGCATGGCAAAGGGTTGAATCCCGGGCCAGGCCAACCAGACCTTCCATCTTTACGGGGTCGGTTGATTGATACCAGATTTGTCTGGGAGGATAAACGCACTGATTTGTACATCTGCTCGCCATCGCATGTTATTGTATAGACCACATACGCACTTATTACGCGCTACAATTCTGGATGGAAGTCGAATGCGTGGGCGCATCCCCAAGACGGGATTGATCAACGCAGACTTGAGAAATAGAAATTAGGAGAATCAGTATACTAAAGCATAGTAATCCTGGAACCCTCATGAATGGCGTCATTCCTGCATAGTAAATCATGGCTGCAAGACAATCATCTGCAGATGAGTCGAGTAATGGGCTTTCTGGATGACTAATGACAAGCCTTTTTCGGTGTTAAAATACCCCCACGAAAAGAACGCCGTCACATGAAACGATGGTTTGGGTCTACACCCCATTCGATTTAGATTGATCTCATCCCTTCCCACATTATCCCTCTTGTCCTCTTCCTTCCTCTCCCATCCATTCTCCACAGGAATACTTGAAAAGATATGGATTGTGTCAGCGGGAAACGGAGTTTCACATGGCAATAAGCACTATATTGAAAACTCACCTCCTTTCACATCTCTCGTGCATAGTCTCAACAAATGCGGCATTGTAGAATATGTTCCGAACCGTTGGATCTTTCTGAAAAAATGTGCTGAAGGAAGGGAGTTCAAGAAAATAAGCGAAGTGGGGAAGATGTTGAATGCGCCCTGCGTATCACACATGTATGGTCAGGGGATTGAGTCCAGGATCTAAACCGGCTCAGACCATCGAACTATCCACCCTTTCAAGGTCGGTGTACTGTTACCAGAGTAAGGATAAAAGCACTGATTAGCACATCGGCTGGTCATCGCAAGTCAACGCCACTACGATTCTGGATGGAAGACGAATGCGGGGCGCATCCTCAAACGGTAATGGTTATCGCCTAGAAACTTTAAAAAACGTTATGCGTAAACTGTGAAACACAGTCACCGTTTCAGCTGGAATTTCAGCACCGCACCCAAGGTAACACTATCCTAGCAGTCTGAGAGAAATTGAAACTTGAAGAGCAGCTCCTGCGATGGAACGGACCTGTACTGAAAACGCCACAGAGAACTCCGTTAGGGAAGGCAATGGAGTTCTAGGCTCAGGGCAAGCGGTCGTGAGGAACACCAATTAATCACCCACGCCGAAGCCAAAATAATGGAACACGACGATGCCCAGATAGGAGAAACTGGACTCTGTGGAGGCTTCCTGCGATGGTGCGAGAATGCCGCTAAGAAGGAGAACAAATGAAAAAGAATGAGACCACTGTGATAAAATCCTTGTGCTCTGCAAGATTTTTGGATGAAACCAATCATCGCCATAAAAATATCAATATTATCATAAACTACATATTATCCTGAGGTACTATCCAGAAAATACAAAGAGATTTGGGCCTAACGAAATTAATCATCATTCAGTCCTTCCCTCCTATGCTGGTGGCCCTCTGGCAGACCCATCCCAAGGCGGAAGATAAGACTTACGCTGCAAAAACATTGCACGGTTCAGTGACTTGAATACCCTGAATCAAAGTTAATTGCACGAGCCGTTGTGGCAAAAACCGATCTCTGCCCCGTAGGCGAGTCATTAGTCTTGATAGCCAGACGTGTAGCACACAAGACCCTGTTTGTAACTTGGCATTTAGGTTTACGAAAGAAGTTTTCCTGTTTCACTTTATGTACAAATTGCAGTCCAATTCCTAGTCATGGTTCTGTTGTGGTTCGTTTTTAAGCAGTCGTTTTTGATTACGTGGGGCATCAAAGAACGTTGTACCACTTCACATGGACCCCTCTAGGAAGGAGTTGCACACAGTATGCTATATTGCCTGTGTTGGTGAGTATAATCATTGGTGAGCTTAATATTCGCTTGCGGGAAAAATATTGATAACATAGAGGGCTCTTTTTCTGGAGTACACCGAAAATCCTTTCTCCCAAGGTTCCAAAAGGTAAAGTTTGACGTTGACGAAGGGCCTAGGCGTTCAGAAACACAGAACGAACTGGAGGGAATTGGAGTAGTGTTACTGGTATTGTGTTAGCCTGCCTACACTATAGTTCTAAAAGATTTGAAGGAAAATGTAGACCCTGTAGGGTTTATGCAGCCGCTGCAGCACCTGCATTTGTTTTCAACAACCCTTTCAAAGAGGCAATCGACGGCTTAATCCGAAGAAAAGTGAAACTCCCAGTATCGCTTCATTCAAGTTTATACAAATCTGACCAACAAACGATTTACAAGTTACCCAAATCAGCGTTGTAAATTTAGGAACCCAAGATGCCGAATAACCGATTTCGGAGGGACAGAAGGTCTCCCGAAACTATGCCTAGATGGGATTCGATCTTTGGACGTGCCGTGTGATATCAACGCACATTACGACTGCCGCATCATCGTTCTTAGGCACTATTGAAGACTTGAAAAACAAACGAATAATATCTTACAGCGTCCAGTTTTTCCCAAACTCGTTCGACAAGGTTCACAATGCCTTTGCAGTTTGATCGAGGAGGTTCACAAAGTCTGGCCCATGTCATTCTTAGTGCTCGAACTTGCTCTTTCCTCAAATTCCAGAGTTTTGCCTGAAACAAGTAAAAAACAGCTAATTCATTATGAGATACCTCGAGCATTTCGAGAATTTCTCAACTTAAGGAGAACATCACTAAGCAAAGAAGAAGGCCGACCATTGCTGGGAATTCGAATTCCTTGAAGGAATTTCGAGAGTTTTTACGAATGCCAAGTGTCTGGGTATCACATTTACACGTTTAGGGTTTCCTCAGGAAACCTTTCACTGGAAGGATTTAAAAGCCAAAAACGATTTTCATTTTCCAATGGAACGAAGATAGTGCTTCGTTCATATTTAAGTCTCCCTTATTTAGGAGCTAAGAGTGGTCGGGTGCTGTCTTCTGAGGAGGTTTTTTCGTGGGCAATTACACATATTTGAAATTTCGAGGGATCCGAACTTTTCTTGAGAGCTCTCTTCTATGGGAAGGGATTATATGTAGAGGTTCGTAGGCTAATAGCCAAGAACAAAAACCACACGGGTTTAAGTAGTAATCGCGGGTACTTCATTAAAGGGGACTAGAACCCTTTGATCTGAGTCGGAAGCTTTTTGGCTGAGTTGTTTGGCACTCGCTTTGTGAGGGGGTGGGCTTAAACGGCATCGTCGTCGTCATCTTTCCTTTTTCGGACATCATTCACTCTATTTTTGGAGCCTCACTCAGAACAGCTGATAATAAGATCAAAACAACGACTATAAATAAACAAACAATTAAAGATGGTTAATCAGGGGTTGAAAGAACGTTTCAGAAGACAAATTTCTTGGAAGAATAAAAACAGAGAGGGACCGCTGACCATGATCTTTCTTATTCAGTACTTACCAAGTTTTTTTGCTACAAGTACAGCCGGTACATACTGGATTGGTGGAAACCCCACCAACTCTTTCTTCAATTTTATGTAAACTTATGATAGAGAGATGGTGGCTGAATTATCAAATACATCAAGAATCAATTGCGACTGAGAGTATTTCCAATCCGCCCGTCTCCTGTTACGATTGATGTCAAGAACTTGATCGATTTTCAAAAAATCAGCAGAAATGATTCTTGATTAAAAGTTATTCCGGCTTGTTTCTGTGCCAGCCTACCAATTGCTGAGGCTCTGAACTTTTCAACCTTTGAAATTCATACATATCGACACCTACCAGTGTTGACAGCTTGATCGCTGGCATACTACCGCTTCGAATTCGTACTGGCTTCGGAACTTCGAGAAGCGAACTGGAATTGGGAGTCAACAATGTAGGGCTGTTTTCTGTAGGTTCTGGTGAAGCACTGCTGATACTGCCTGATCGACTTCTCTGAAATACCTTGTTTTAGCTATATTGGAAAGGCAACACCAGACACAATACTTTCTTCTACAGCTACTGAACTCATTTCGGATTATGAGTATTTGATTAGTACATGCACCAACAATTGCCAACTATGTAGATGACTTCTGATGCTATCATGAGTGAGATCCTGAGATTTCTATTACTCGTTTTTTTAGATGGCCGTTTCCTCAAGAAAGACTAGTCCGCTATTGAAATACCTATTTCAGTGGGAGTCCAGCTGGTATAAACAGGTTCTGGTCCGCGAGAGACCTAAATTTTCTGCCCCCAAACAGTACTTCTTTCCCAAACCCTAATAATGTGCAGTCATCACACCTGACCTTTTGTCTGACCCGAACACGCTTTCATTAGATTTTTTAGGCTCTTTAGGATTTTTTTTCATTAGATTTAGATTTACTGCGTATGAAGACAGGTAACGTTTCACGAAGTCGTGTGAGTGGGTAACCTCCTGAAGGGCAGCTGCTACTACCAACATGGTTCCCTACTCTGAAAGGGCACAGGAAACGACCTTCCTGATCTCGTTATTTCACTTACTGCTCAATTTCAACATTTCATCACTACTTCAGCCAGCCAGACAACTATGTTTCAGAGTTCGAGTGATCCTTGGACTTCCATGCCCTCCTTGAAAGCGCCAATCGGATTACGATATGATAACTCGCCGTAAACGAGCCGAGAGACGGGAAAAGGCAATTTCGAATAGCATTCACCCTAGGGACCCAGCACAACGTGCGGCGTACACTTTCTATCAGGTTTCCATTGAGCATATGAGTCACATGATGGCCCTACGGACCCATCGGAATCGAATTCATTCGAGTTGCATGATCTATTTTGGCACATGGAAATTCGGGAAGAGAATTTACGAACCCGATAGAGTAACTCAACTATTATATGGCTCAGAAAGTGCATAAATACACCTACCAAAAACTTCGCAATGGTGCAGGCTTTTTTGGAATGTTTTGGGATATTCCGTGCAATTTCTATATAAAACCTCTACCCAATTATATGCATATAACATATAAGCCACCTCTTCCTCAGTTGTTTAACCATATAATGGCCTAACTTTTCCTCCCATAGTCGATTCGTACTTACTTCGAACTTGGTCGCTCCGCTGCCTTAGACCCATCAAGTATATGAAAACCTGAATTTTTGTAGAGTTTTCACCGAAGTTCCCGGATACCCTAATATTTTCCAACTTAAGGTGGTCCTCCGGGACACTTTCATTTCCTCCACATCGAAATTTCCTGGAAAATCAGTGAATATTGACCAGCTAGGTCGTTAAAACTAACGCGATGTCTCTGAAACGATCTTATGAATTATTCAAAGGCATTGAAAAGTTGAGTGGTTCGGCAAAACGTGAATGAATAAATTATTCGAAGGTTCATCATTGATGAGAATATTCTTCCTGCTCGGAATGGTTTTTCGATCTTTATGAATGGGCTGATGCCGACATTTTCTGGCTTTACTCTTCTGGAGCTGAGCGGCGAGGGTGATGAAATGCCAAGTGACCATCTTCCGAATTCCACCCAGTCCCGAGGTTGCTTGAATGGTAGTAGAGCAGTTGGGGAGGTAAAAGCGGTGCCTCATGCATCACGCGACCTTGCTTATAAGGGTAACCTTCAACCAAAACTGGTCGTTAAATAAAGCTATAAAGTTAGGAAACGAAACATATCACATCATCCATCGCCCACCAAAAAATCATTTCAACTTCGCCTGCCTTGACCACCCACTTAAAGAACCTTTCCTTCACAGAAAAGGACTTCATAGCTGCCATAGGGCAGAAGACCTTCCATTCAGCGTTGTCATTCACAGAAGTTGTAGGAGTAATTCACTGGGCAAAATGAAAGCGATTGTTCATGATCCGCTTTCTTGGCCGTTACAAGGGTGAGGTCAAGAAGAGCGTGGCCCACTGATATTCAAAACCCTCCCATCTGACAGATCACGCCCACCGGCTAAAGATCATGACTCTTTGTAGTAACTCTGTAGAAACAGCGTGATATTGTATTAGATTAGTAGGTATGGACGTCCTTCGTGCGGGCATGGGCTTTACTTTCAGGTATGGGTAACATTGCTTGTTCCATTGTTTGTTAGGGATATAATGAGAGAATGACAAAACGATCCACTTGACCGTTTATTCCGCATATTTCATATTTCCAAACTGATTTACTTGATCCCAACTCACCGCTTTCAACTTCTTTTGTTGTTGTTGTTTTGTTTGCTGAGCAACTCTCTTTTTGTAGCGGACCATGCCCGCAGAACGTGCTGCAGACATCATCTTGAATACTGAAAAAGGAATAATGTAGAAACTAGTAAAACCTGATCGATTAGAGGGTAAAAAAGCGCAGAAAGAAATCATTGAACTTTTTATGTCTTGAAATTGAGAGGACTGAAAAAGTGCAGTTCTACGACAGCATGTACAACATTTTCTCATTGTTATGGATTGGGAGCTCGAGCTTGTGGGAATACGGCCCATATGAGTAGGAACCATAAAAACTGCCTCTGTTGAGGATGGAAGTATACGTAGTGAGTAGTAAAATTGATGTCGTTATGGGAATACGCCTTCAAAGGGGCGGGAAGAAAGAGATAGTGGTGTCGGGCAGGAAAAATGACCATCTTCATCTCGTGTGCTTGAACAAGGCGGAGCCTATAGTGGGGGAATCCAGAGACCAACAACTATCACCTCACTTCGTCTCCGTAGGTATGAACCTGCGAGTCAAGAAGACCAGTGATCGGTTGCAACTGCCATTCACCGTGTCCCAAAACCAAAAAGAATCCTCACTGAATACCTCAGATAATTCTTTCCGCAAAAATTCATAATGATCCAGTAGTCAAACTTACGAGGGAAGGACTC